TGTATTTCCAGATTTTCTATGCATATGCAGGTATATAAAAGAGTATATACTTTTTTTTAAAACATAACACAACTGACATAGTATTGCATTCATTATTCTGCAACTTCCTTTTTTCATTTAACAAAATATTACAGGCATCATTTCATGTAAAGTGCAGCTGTAGATCTGTATCTACCTTTCATAGTCGCGTGGCATTCCGTTGTATGGATGAACCATAATTTCTTTCCCCGGAAGTTACTTAACTTTATATTTTAACTATACCACCTTTTGAATGATAAATAATGACTGGATGTTAATTAATGCACCAATTCATTATCCTTCTTGTAGAAAACAATCAGTTTATTAACAATCTTTTCTTATCTAAATTGAGGAATGCTTTTCATTCTTACTTGGTGCGTTAGAATGTAATTTGAGGATCGTGGCTTACTCTGTCAGTAGCCTAAACTACTTCTTGATCCTCGAGATTGACTAGTGTTTTGATACCAGCACCAGGCACCTGAATTCATTCAGCTATGCCCTATATGGTTTGCGATTATATTTCTTTGTGACATTTTATTTATAAAAATTTAATAATTTAACCAATTATCAGAGTACTGATAATTTTTTAGTATTTTAATAAGAGTCGCTGGATTATAGTTTATGGGACAGAAAGGGGTTTTGAAGACTTCCAGTCTGGGAGCCCACCAAGTTAGCAAAGGGAAATGATGAACAATTTTTTAAAATTCAATATAAATTTACTTAAAATTTTGCAGAATAACTGAAATGTCAGGTTTCTTTGCCTGTGGTTGCAGTTTTCTGAGTGCATTGTGTCAACATGGGTTATTCCATTCTGATCAGAAACCTAGAAATTTGCTTAACTTGTTAGGAAAATGAGTTATTAATAAATGCAGCCTTTTGATAGACACATTGCAAACAATCTGTGGAAAGGAATCCTTAATGGTAAAAAGTAGAGACTGGTCATTCAGCCTTTATCCTTCTGAGCCCTCTTCTCACACTCTTTCACTATATAAGATTGGGAATGTGATTTTTAATTTTTTTTACGTTAGAAATTCTAATAAATACTATTTCCTAACTTAGGAAGTCAGTAATTTAAAATTATATTCTTTAAATTTTCTTACCTTTGTTTCCAAGATTTTTTTCTTAAATACTTCTTATTACCAGGAGAGGAGTCCCTGGGTGGTGGAAACGGTTAACACGCTAACTGAAAGGTTAAAAGTTCGAGTCCACCCAGAGGTACCTCAGAAGAAAGGCCTGGTGATCTACTGCCTAAAAATGAGCCACTGAAAAGTATGCAGCACAATTCTACTCTGACACACATGGAGGCGCCATGAGTCGGAATCGATCTGATGACGACTGGTTTTATTACCAGAAGGCTGTTGTGTCTGTTATGTAATTCAGAGGCATTACATAAGTAATAAATTTAAGATGTTTGCTCTTACAGAATCTAAATTGTTCCTTGATTCCTCGTTTTATAACTAGCACTATAATTTTTATGTAACACTTTCTCCGATGTGGTAACATAAAGATATTATAGATTGAACTTAATTCTCTATTTTAAAAAAGCAATGAACTAATTCTTTAGGTCTCTAGAAAATCTGAATTATTTACTTTATGTAGCATTGCTTTTATGCCCCTAATATTTTATAGTCTTTTCATTGGAACTGCTAGCCTGCTGGTTATAATAATAGGAACTTAATAGTATAGGTGGTTCTAAAATTAGGTACATTGGGTACTATTAAATAGCATTTAAATGTGACAAGGCGTGTTTTATTAAGTCACTAATATACACTTTGTGTGACTATAGAATCATAATTTTACTACCTAAGGCACACATTAATTAACAAATAAAACATTCCCCGGAGTGTTGTCTTATGACTGTAATACACCAGTATATTTTTAGTGATTTTTTTTTTTTATTTGTATCCAGCAGTATGCTCTAGGCATAGGGGACCACATGCTTGGACTTTCATCTTGCTATACAATGTTACAGGACTTTATTTTTATCCTTAAAAAAAAAAAGTTCACTTTCACTATAGAACTTAGAAGATTTGGTTCTCAGGGCTGTAAAAGTAGTATTGCTTTCCGAAATAACTTGGGTTTACACATTTTTAATAGATAAGATTATAATTTTCACCTAGCCCTTAAATTGAGTATTTTCCCATGCTTACTGTTATATATTGGAAACCCTGGTGGCATAGTGGTTAAGAGTTCGGCTGCTAACCAAAAGGTCAGCTGTTCGAATCCACCAGGAGCTCCTAGGAAACCCTATGGGGCGTTTCTACTCTGTCCTATAGGGTCGCTATGAGTCGGAATCCACCCGATGGCAATGGGTTTGGTGTTTTTTGAGGGGGAGTTTGCAGTTATATTCTTCTCTTTTTCATTGAATATAATAAAAGACATTTACTTTTATACTGGTCCATAAACTGTTCCCTAGGAGTTGGATATATTGCTTTGCAACTATTTAGAGCTTTAAGTGTTCTGCTAAAGGTAAATTATATTTAAAGTCTAGAGAATGATATTCTTAAATTACTAATTGCAATAAATTAATTTCTAAAACTGCCGTTTCCTTTGTAAATTTATATAGTTTCAAAGAAACTAAAGTTTTTCCCTCATTACAGTATACAAGATATTGGCATAATGTCATTACTTTATTATAAAATAACCACATTTCATCAAAGTCCTTTGGTTATGGTTTTTGGAATCCTAAGGTATTTGTTAGACATTTAAATTTTATGAAGTGATGACACTTAACTTGGGCAGTAATTTTTAGTCATGTTTGGTCATTTCTCTCTTAAATTTTCTTTCTGTATAGGATTGTGGATAATATGCCTGTAACATGGTGTTATGATGTTGAAGATGGTCAGAGGTTCTGTAATCCTGGATTTCCTATTGGCTGTTACATTACAGATAAAGGCCATGCAAAAGATGCCTGTGTTATTAGTGTAAGTTCATGATAAACTCTATGCTACTTTAAAATAATGGCTTTTTAGTAGAGGGATTCATTCCGTCTTTATTGCACAAAAAGTGTTGCATCCATTGAATGAGTACAAGTCAGATATTGTGAAGTACAGTTACTTAAACTTAAGCTAGATTAATAATGTATAAATTAATCTCTAGAATTAAAATAATTCAGAATCAATTTGCAACTTTACCTCTTGTCAAAGGTCTATCTAATTGTATAAATACAACATTTACTGAGAGTATAGTGTATTCTAAACACTATGCCGAGGGCTAGAGCTTTGTTCAGCTCTATTAAAAGTTAGATTCTTAAAGCTTATATTAAAAAATATAGAATAGTAGAGTATCAGAAAAGCCTCATTATAAGGATTTTAAGTTCATGAAATTTGTATTACAGATTAAATTTAAGCCCATGAAATCTTATTTTATAACAGTTCCATAAACCTTTTTTAAAGTCGTGTCTGTTACTAAGGCCATTCTTTTATCTTTAAAAATATCAGTAAAGTGAAGACATTAATATAGAAGGTAGCTAAAAATTATTTGGGAATAGCTAAAACCAAACCAAACCCATTGCCGTCAAGTCGATTCCAATTCATAGCGACCCTATAGGACAGCGTAGAACTGCCCCATAGGGTTTCCAAGGCTGTAAGTCTTTACAGAAGCAGACAGCCACCTTTGTCCCGCTGAGCGGCTGGTGGGTTCGAACTGCCAATATTTTGGTTAGCAGCCAAGTGCTTAGTGCTTAACCACTGTGCTACCAGGGCTCCTATTTGGGAGTATAGTATATAAAAATAAATTTGTATGATCAGATCAGCTTGATTTTATCTCTTAATGGATATGATATTGTAGTAGAAATTAGCATGAACTTGATCATAAAACTGGTTATATTGGTTAATGCTTTTGTGAGAATTGATTAGAGATACTTGAATAAACTAGGTTATTGATTTAGTGTAAGTTTTAAACTTCCATAGAGGAAAAGTGTTTAAAAGTATAAAATTTAGTATGCTTACAGCATGCAATATTATAAAATTTATTTTTTTTAGTTTTATCACAAGTGAATAGCTAGAAAATAGTAGATAAGTGTTCTTTTTAACAGGTATTAGTTTTATGTAAAAATTAAAATATTAAAAAGCATAATTTATTGTTCTTCCGATTAATTTTTGGCTTACAAAGATTTTAAGCTTAAAACCTAAACATTTTTATGGGGAAGGATTAAAATTCTTTCTAAGCTTAAATTTTTCTACTTGTAGTGGCCCAGCTTAAAGTTTTATGTTTTAACTATTGTATAGCCAGTTTTCTACCTTTAACTTTAAGTTCTGTTCTACAGTCAGAATTCCATGAAAGAGATACATTTTACATCTTCAACCATGTTGACATCAAAATATACTATCATGTTGTTGAAACTGGGACCATGGGAGCAAGATTAGTGGCTGCTAAACTTGAACCAAAAAGGTAACTATAAAATTGATAAAAAGTAGATAAATATAAGTGAATTTAGGCTCAAAGTGTAAGTCATTTGGGCCAAATTAACTTATTCCTTTATCAGTATTGGTCATAAAACCTGGGATTTCAGAAATGATTTTACTAAAACTCCCTTTACCATGATTTGTCAATGAGTTATGGACTCTCTAGAGAAACCATACAAATACTTTTTTTTATGCCATGGTAAGTGGTCAAGCCAATGTACCTTTTTATTTTGTTTTTCAATCTTATAATTTTGACAGCGTTTCCATTTGTCAGCTTGGAATGGAGGACATGAGTGATTGGGGCAGTGTTCCCCTTTATAACGCAAAGAACATTGCCTCAGATATTTGCAGCTTTGCCTCTTGTCATAGGTCCATCTACTGCTCTAATTTCTAAAGCCTTCACACAGTGTTAGATGCTGGTATGGGATGAGCCATTGAATAGCTCTTGAAATTGTTAATTATTTTTTACTTTGAAAGTACGTATCAGTTATTTGTGAGATCCTTTTTTGATTGAGTATTCCATTTTCTCCATGACTTTTCCCCTCGTTGAATTAGCCAGTTTGTCATGACACTGACCCGACCCGTTGCCGTCGAGTTGGTTCTGACTCCTATTGACTCTATAGGACAGAGTAGAACTGCCCCATAGGGTTTCCAGGGAGCGGCTGGTGGATTCAAACTGCTGACCTTTTGGTGAGCAGCCACAGGTCTTAACCATTGTACCACCAGGGCACAGACACTGGTGGTTTAAAAAACAAAAAAACAACTACATGCCATACTAACTAAGATGGCAGTTAAGATAAACTCACTCAGTGATTTTTTTTAAAGATTATTTTAAGCTGTTCACGTATAGTGTTTTCAGATGTTTAATTTTGAGTAATCATTTTGTATGCACTTTAAAAATTTTTTATTATGGTAAAAAATATAATACACATACTTTTAACTATGTGAAATAAACATTTTTACTGTTAAATGTGGCATGAATAATTTAACCTTTGGCTTTCATCAGCATTGTGAAATATGAACAAAATCTCTAACCTTTTTTTTGCCCCATTTTTAAAACTGTACTTTATCAACATCTTGCCAAAATATTTCTTCCCACAGCTTCAAACATACCCATGTAGATAAACCGGACTGCTCAGGACCGCCCATGGATATCAGTAACAAGGCTTCTGGGGAGATCAAAATTGCCTATACTTATTCTGTTAGTTTCCAGGTGAGTTTGTTTTTGTCTTTAGTATAACTCAGAAATTGATTTTAAATTTGTACTACTTGAGATAATTAAAAAATGTTAGTGATTAAACTTGTCAAACATATAAGCTTTTGATGAGTTGATTTTTGGAATAGTTTGTCAGTGCACTTGAGAACATAATCACACTGTACACTAAATCTTAGTTTAGGTGAGAAGGCATAGGAAATTGGAAAATTGAGCCAGATTAAGTGTTAAGCATAAGCATACATATAAGACAAAAGGTAGAAAATAAGCATAGAGATGGAAAAACTAATCCCCAACTTTATATAAAAGGAAAATGGTCCTGGATAAGCAAAGCATTACTAAAGAAGAGGAACAAAGTAGGAG